CTGGGGTTCGGGCTGCTGGCTCCCCCGCTGACCACCGGGACTCGGGCTGCCAGCCCCAACTACCCAGCCCCGCTCTCCCTGGGGCTTGGGGTGTCTGCCCTACAACCAGGTCCCACCTGCTGTCTCCAATACCCGGGGTCCTCTGTCCGCCATTAATGATTTTTTTTCTGGCAAACCCCCAGGGGTTCACAAACCCCAGTTTGGGAACCACTGATCTAAGCTGATGGGAAGGATTCTCCCATCAGCATAGGTACCTCACCTGAGAAATGGTCGCTAGGCAAGTAGTTTAAGGTGAAACTTGGGGTAGGTAAGACAAATCAGATTCCTGAAAGAGGTACAGTTGTCTGGAAAGGTTGAGAGCAACTGTACTAGACTACCAAGAACACGGTCCAGGGGAGTATATAACCCATACGTGCTCTGTCTCCCATCTAGGACATAACTGGGCCATTCAGAGGTTGATAAGCCTGCTACAACCTAAAGATAAAAAAGTTGGTTTCTTAAAATACTGAATATATTTATTTTTTCTGGCCTAAAAGCCAGATCCTCAAGCCAAAGTAACTAATTTGTACTGCTCTGAGGGGGCACAGGGGAATCCCTGTGACAAAAAGGCAGACTATCAAGTCCTGTGTTACCTAGAGAAGGTGTTGGGGCTAGCAGAGGGCATGGGAAGAATGCACTGCACTCTAAACCAGGGGGGCCAACCTGTAGCTCCAGAGCCACATGTAGCTCATCAGAAGTCAATATGCGGCTCCTTGTATAGAAACCGACTCCAGGGTTGGAGCTACAGGCGCCAACTTTCCAATGTGCCAGGGAGTGCTCACTGCTCAACCCCTGGCTCTGCCACAGGCCATGCCCCCACTCCACCCCTTCCCGAACCTGCCATGCCCTTGCTCCTCTCCCCAAGCCTCCTGCATGCCAGGAAACAGCTGATTGGGAGGTGCGTGGAGGGAGAGGGAGGCGAAGATTGGGTGGGCAGGAGGCACTGGGAGCGGGGAGCTGATGGGGGGCTGTTGACATATTACTGTGGCTCTTTGGCAAAGTACATTGGTAAATTCTGGCTTCTTCTCAGGCACAGGTTGGCCACCCCTGCTCTAAACATTCTAGATCAGAATGACAGTTCCAAAAACCCAGTTCCAGCCAGCACAAGATAGTGCTACTGCCCTCCGAACTAGCAAGGCGGAAAAGTGACATGCCACTTCTCCCAACCCCTTAAGTTGCATGTGAAAATGTTGGTCTGCAGTTACTCAAGAAACAGGGGAAATAAAGATGTAAAGGTAATTTTATTGAAGGTTTTAGTATGTACACTTAAAAACACATCAAGCTATGCAAAGGGCAGTCTCAGTTTCAAACATAGCAACATGAAACAGTTCCTTCCCCACTGAACAGTTCAAAATATTTTTGTTGTTGCTTTAAAGCGAGCCAACCACAGCATCTCAGTGTGATTTTAGATGCCTTGTCAATGCACTTCTGGAAAGCCACTTCCCCCTCATGTTTTAAGATTTATTCTTTATTCAGTTTCTCATCAAAACAAGCTTACATTATTGGTAATAATCACAGCTACCATCAAATGGTGCTTTTTTGGTACCTGAACACTTTCCCCCCTGCAGCCTAGCTGCTCCTCTATTAGTTACAATTCAGTATTCTGCCTGTCCACAAGAGTTGATCTACTTACAAGCCAAAAGAACAAGGTCCAACTTGCAAGCCAAAAAAAAAACCTGGTCAATCTGACTTTAAGCACACCAGCAACCCTTTAGTCTTTCCCTATGCTTTTGCAGTCATTGATCCCCAGCATGCCTCTGGTAAAGTCAGGGCAAAGCTGCCATACAGTTTAGACATGTAGACAAATCCCACTGGAGACCTATTTAGAACAACTCCTTTCTCATGATCTTCTAGACCAACTCTGAACCCAAATAATTGTTTAACCGATTAAAAATATTAAAGATTTTCAGAGCAAGGATTGAATTTAATATTTTTAAGATCTGGAAAACACCTTTAAAACTAAATTTAAGACCACTGGAAGAGTTAAATCATGTCACTACATGTGCTTAAAGTGATATTCTAAGGCAATCCATTAAGTAGGCTTTCCATAAGGGTAATGCTGTGCAAGTCAGTGAGAATGGTTTCACAAACAAGTTATTAGTGATTAACTAGTATAATAGTTACTTATAAAGGTTTCTTGAATTTAGTACACATCAAAAAGCATAAAGTGTTCTCTTCTGCATTGTTAAATGTCAAGATTAAAACCATCAGTAGTCATTCTATACGTTTATTAAAGAATTTCTTATTCTTTAACACTACACTAACTAGATTGAAATCAAGTTCACTTCATTTTGTCTAGGTTTTAAAAAGTCAGTTTATTGATAACGGTCATAGAATTACATAAAAGTAAAAAATCCATTCTTGAAATAATCTTCAATTTTAAATTAAGCAAGATTATTTGGAGAGAACTGCGTAAGCTTTTTCCTTTTCATTTTCTAAGTGGGGGAAAAAAAGGCATTCAATGCACCTTTGCTTAGTTATTTGGAATATAATCTGTAGCAGACATTTGATGTATAAAATGGGAATTTATATACAGAGATAGTTTTCAGAGTTGCACCTCAATACACTATTCAAGTTGAAATTATCAATAGATTTTTAAAAAGTGTAAAAAAAAAAATGAACAGGAGGGTCTTATCAATGAGCATTTTCCCCAAAAATCAGCTTTAAGGCCTCCCTTCCATTCCCTTATAAACTCTTTATGTCCGGTATTTTACTAGTTTAAACCATTTCATTTCCCTCTTTGGGTCTTTTTTTTTTTTTTTTTTTAATTCTTTGCAATTAAATTTCTCCTACAGGTTATAGCAACACAAGGTGCGATGCAGGATATTTTGCAATCATAACATCTTAGATTACTGCTCATTTAAATGCAGAACCTGAAGCAACCTCCAGTGTCAGACTACAGTATCCTATATCATCTTACATAGGAAACAATTTATATAGCCAAGGTGTCTTCCTTTGCTGAAGCCTCACTCGGTTTGTTTTCTCATACAGCAGTAACATAAAAATCAGTAAGATAAAGGTTTGTCTTGTAAAGTTCTCCTCTAGTTCAGCATGACTGTAAAAAGGCACAAGACTCCAAGAGATAATATTCTACTGCAGTCAAGCTCTCTTTCCTCTCCCACTCTGAATTTTGTCTTAGCTGTACGGTGGGTGCCAGATAAGTGAGATGCACTGAAAACACTAGCATACAATGCATATTTCCAAGTTAATATAGCCACAGGCAACATGTGTTATATCTTCCTATTAAAAAATAGAAACCTAGAGTTCAAAATAAGCAAAAGTGCTTCTTCCAGCTTTGCTTTATACACTAAGTAGTTTGCTTGTTGTTCAACACTGCACATTTCTCTCCAGTGTGGTGGTTGAACGTTTCTTGGTGGGATTTTTTTTTTTTTAAAGTCTACCACCACTCTCTCACCTCATATTACTGCAACAAAGGTGCTGGTATTTACTTTCCTGGTTATTTACATCAACAGGAGAACAAGAATGTTAAGTGCAGTAATGAGGGGCTGAATGGTATGCAGAAGCTAAAGTGATAGCTCAACAATCAATCACTAGTTATTAACTATTAAGGAGGTACTGTAATGGTCATATCAGTCACTTTCTAGTAAAAGTCTTTTGTTTGGTTTTTTTGCACCCTCTAAACACAATATATATTACATTGTGGCTACCTGCAATCCAAAAAATAAAAAAAAATCCAGAATGAAAGCATCTTTGTGTCACGTACAGCAAAGACACCATCAATACTAAGTAAGTTCTAACATTAAAAATTTACTTTATATTAAAATGTATTATTTAACAAATTTAAAGAATTCTATTTTAAGTATGTTTGGATGAAAGGTACTATAGACAAACTGTATAGACAGACACTTGTCCATTTTAAAGATCCACTTCAATTTTAGCCAGGATTCCATTTTCTTTCTGTATTAACTTTTAGACAAAGTAAACCTGCACTAGATTGAACTTCCTTCTAATAGTTTAAAAGGAAAGGAGGAGCCATCCGAATGAACAAAAATAGCTTTAAAGGCTATTTTAATTGATGGAGTTGGCAGAGTAAAGTGCAGGGCTTTAAGAAGCAACAGCTTCCACCACACTGAAAAGCAACAATAAGGCTAAGCAAGCACAGAATGAATAGGGCACAGGAATTATTTCAGCCTCAGACAGCACCCCACAGACCCAAGCACACCAGTAGCCAACCACCACCACCCTTAGCCGTCCAGTCACACCGGAAGCTGGTTCCTGCCTCCATCTCCCACCACCACACACACACCATAGTTATGAGACAGAAGAGGACAGGAGAGACAAGGAAAGGAAATCACCTCAAATTGCCAATCCCTACCATCCATTCCAGTGTTTCCCGAGGGAGAGACGAAGGCTAGAAGCCACGCTTGAAACTTACCAAAACAAGGGCTTTGAGATCTCACATCCAGGCTGGCCCCTGGTCCCCACCCACCGACCCCCATTCATCCCAGTTTACCTCCCCCCACTCAGCGGAGGCGGAGAGGAGCAGCAGAGAAACCCCCGAGCACTCCTGTAGTTTCGGCTGTCGCCACAGGGACCGCCACCCAAATTGCCAGGCCTGGGCGTGTACCTGATAATGGACAGGGACTTGGGTAGCCCTTCTATCTCCGGGCCCCACCGCCTCTACTGCTGGGGCAGGGAGCGCCCTCCCAGCCACACAAACACACCCCTCAAACTTCTCCTGGCAAGGGGAGGGAAAGAGAGCGCTCGGACCCGCAGGTTTAGCAATCCCTCAGTCCTCGCCTCCCCACAAACGAGGAGCGCCCTCCGCCTCAGCCGCCAAGGGAGGCACGTCCAGCACAGGGGCTAGAGATGCCCCTCAGACCCTCACCCCACACTGTTACCTTCCCCCCAAGCAATAGTCCTTCCACCGCCCCCCAAACTGGAAGCGGGGGAGAAAGAGCTAGGACTCGACCCCTGGTGTGGACTCCACCCCTACTCACCAGGGAAGGGAGCCAGAACTCGCTAGCGTCTCCTTTCCCCCAAGTCCCCCAGACTCAGCTCCTCGCCGCCATTTTCCTCCTTGCCTGAGTTTAAATAGGAACCAGCCTCTCGGAGAGCCGCCGCCAGCCACAGCCGGACTCAGCCCGGCCACCGCGGGGCATTATGGGATGTGTAGTTCCAACCCGCGCGGGATACAATGGGAGCTGTAGTCCTGACGCGACCCGGCCTCTTCAGCGCGGCTCACCATGGAACCTGGAGTCCTCCGCTGAGCCACACACCCCCTTTTAAACTTCATCTCCCAGTGGCCTCCGCGGCTGCCCGGTGGCCCCGATGGCGATTTTTTTTATTAAACCATTCTGTTTCCGGCGTCCGACTTCCTGGTTCTGGGGCGTTAAATAATAACACCGGTGGCGGGGCGGGAACGCAGTGTTGTGTGAACCTCCCCAGTGGGACCTTGTCTCTCACACACACCCCTTAACCCTACCTGAGACCCCCGCACAGAGGCTGAAGGAAAAGGGACCAGTCTAGCGGCGCCGGGGCTGAGGTGTTCGCCGCCTGTCACCCCTGCCCAGCGTGCGGGGGGAGTTGTGTGGGAGGGCCCGGCTGCGCACAGCCCTGTTGTAGGAGGGCCGCCTTTGACAAGCAACCAGCTTTTGTCTGTCTCTTGAGGGTTTTCTTCAGGTTCGCGTCGGTATTACTAGGACTGTGGCTCGCTTGATGTCTACAAAGGGCTCAACTGCCCGGTAAGGCCCCGACCTTACCAGAGAGCTTTTCTCTGGGGTCAAGGAAGTGAAGGGGGAAGGGGACTCTATTACATTTCTACAGAATTAAAACTGTCGTTTCAAACCATCACCCAAGCAGCTTAGAGGCCTTATTATTGAAAAGTGGTGAGTCTGTCTCGCCCCGCGCTGCGGGAAGAGGGCTTTGCAAGTGGCCCTCGCCTCTGCGATTATCTCAGCGCTGTTTGCTACATCCCTTGGAGTAGGTCAGATGCGTATGGGGTTATCAAGGGCTGCCCCTTGCTGCATGAAGAGTTATAGCAAAGACGGTGGCCAGCTTCATAGGGGAGAAAAGCGGCAGCCACCATCTCGTTTTTATAACGTGGAAATGCAGTGATTTGTACTCAAATCATGTTGTATCTTTACTACAGGGACCTAAACATAACTCACTCATTTTTAGGTATTCTTGTGTTGAGGGAGAGTTTCCCCACACGCATACTGCAACTACTGACATGAAAAATTGATTTCATGGCAGGTGATCTGCCATCTTATTTGTTCCTTAGTAGTTTCTTGATTGAGATTAAGGCAGGTTAAAAAACAGGGATAAATGATCTAATTAAGGACTGTGTATATGCAGGGGAAAGGAAAACCAACTTTTTTCATTAAATGCAGCAATCACAAAATTACAATTAATACTGGAACAATTTCTGCTATTTCTTCTAGATAACATGTGGCAGGTCAGTTAATTCCTATAGCTGTCTGTTACCAAAGTTTTTATCTCTGAATTTCAACTAACTAGGCATAGACAAACACAATCTTGTATATTTATATTACAGTAGTTCAAGATATGGAAATTATATGCATGTTGTACTTGAATATAAGCCTTCTACAATGTGCAAGGCAGTTCTACAAGTTAAATCTTATTAGTATATGGTGGAAAGGAGAAAATTCCACCTCTAAATTTATATCAGTGTAAATTAGTAATAAACCATTTACCTAATTAAAAAAAACTTAATTTAAATTTTTGTAACATTTAGAGCAACTGGTGACTGTATTCTAGTTAAACAATTCTATTTTATTCATTTTCTATTTCTACTATTGAAAAGTAGCTACCTGTGATAAATCTGGACTACCAATAAGAACAGTGGAAAGCGCTCAGCACCCAGCTTCTGGGAGTCCGACCAATTTAAACTGTCTCAGATTAGAAACCCAGAAATATCCAAAATCATAATTTTTTTTATTAGGTCTAAATATGGAATGGTTTATACATTCTTGATGAGGATAGATCCATTTGCCAATAATATGAGGGTAAGAAGCCTTACTGTAGTAGGCCCTACTAGACTATAATTCGGACAGCAAAGCTGCATAATGTTATAAATTATATGTATTTTAATTCACCTTCTGGCTGAGGATAATTCAGATGCTGTAGAAATATCATTGAGAATTCAAAATTCAATGTAACTATTGTAGATGTATTTTAGAGACTTTCACTGTTTAGAGGTTAAATATGTAAAATCTAAATATTGAAGTATGTTCATCAATATTAATCATGTAATTTACAACAAATGAGCAGACTTGCACCTACATAGAGCTCCATGTAAATGTAGGCGGCCATCTACACTATATAGATTGCCTTAGATTCAGAGATAGGCATAACATTATTTTTATGCATCTTTAAGCCTTAATTGCTTATGTTCTGATTAAGGAATGTATGTGTGAATGTAGGCATATTCCTGGGAATAATGTATACTCCAAATATAAATTTCAATAAAAACACATTTGTGCCTCAACATTACTTGATGAAGCTACAAACTTAGCTTGAGAACACCAGCCAAATTGCCCCCTCAAGAGCACATTAGAAACATCCTTTTCAGAAACAGGGTAAGACTCCCTGCAGCCAGATGAATTAAGGAATGGGTTTCATTTGAAGTACTTTCCAATTCCATAATTGGAAGTAAGTAGAGCCCCACCTTAACTACTTTTCAGGAGGTAAAAGGATGTATACAAGTAATTACTAAAGAAAGAAAAACAAGATGTCTTTTCAATGATTTATGGTCCTTATGGATAAAGTTACTGAACTCTTGTATATCAAAAGTCCTCAAATACAAGAAAATGGGTTCTCCTTGCCTCCACTGCTAGCAAGGACTGGGGAAGACAGGTCATGAGCCCTTTACAGACTTTCAGTAATTGTACACATGCATCACCTGATAGTGGTAGACCAAATAAGTATCCAGTTCTTAGCTGGAAGTTGATTCCTTTATGTCAGAACCCAAATTGGTTAGAAATAAAATAATTATGAGTTACAAGAATCAGTATCCTGATGACTGTTTAGCACCTTCCAAAAGACATAAAATGTTTGCCTACTAGGGTAGTGCTTACTCAGATGAAGTTATCCTTCGTAGAATCAGCTCTGGCTCAGGTGTGTCAACCAAGGGCTATCCAGATACACATACTTTAGGAGGGATGATACTTTATGCTCCTAGAGGCCTGATATTTTGCTCAAAGTTCTGTCAAATGTTAATGAGCAGCTGTTTTTATAAATACTATTACACTTTAGGTATTTTAGTATTTAATTTTCCAGTGCTTCAGGAAGGCTCCTGGGGAAAATATTTGATTCAGCTTAAGAGGCAGATCAAGTAGGAATCTAGAAAAAGCTCTAGAACTCCACAGGTCCCAGTAATAAAACCTGCATCTACCTTTCCCTCCTTTATTCCTAAAACATGAGATTAAAATCCCCCCCCCCCCCCAAGACTGCACATTTCTTTAATGTTGCATGGAGGATACTCCTTTAGTTGATTCCACATCCATTCTTAATGTATTACTTAACATGCTTCCTGCAATTTAGAGGGTCTTTTTTTTCCTGGAATCAAACAACTTTCTAAATTGGTCATTTCTTCAAAGTGCAGTTTTGTTGTGAAAAGTGACATTCATTCAATCTACTTTGTGTACAGTAGATTCTATTTGGGCTCATGCATTATTAACAAAATTTAACTATGGTCTGCCTGCAAATTCTGTAGCAGGGGTAGGCAACCTATGGCACGCGTGCCAAAGGCGGCACGCGAGCTGATTTTCAGTGGCACTCACATTGCCCGGGTCCTGCCCACGGTCCGGGGGGCTCTGCATTTTAATTTAATTTTAAATGAAGCTTCTAAAACATTTTTAAAACCTTATTTACTTTACATACAATAGTTTAGTTATATATTATAGACTTATAGAAAGAGACCTAAAAACGTTAAAATGTATAAATGGCACGCAAAACCTTAAATTAGAGTGAATAAAAGAAGACTCAGCACACCGCTTCTGAAAGGTTGCCAACCCCTCTTCTATAGTTAGTGCTGCATGAGCCAAAAAGAACCAAATAGATTCCAGGTTGAGGATGGGATTTTCAAAAAAGCCTATGAGCACAATTACAATTGGAAGTCAATGAGTCAGGCTCTTCTTTTTTTGGGGTGGGGGGAGGGAGTCTCACCAGGCATATACTACACTGAGTTAATGTTTGTAAAGCACTGTATATATATAGTATTATTTGCATATAGTAATTGGGAAGATGGCACCCCTTTGCATTTGAGTTAGAATTCTCAGAGAGCCTACAATTGTCATGCAGGCATAGTGTAGATGCAGCCTATGCTGATGGAAGTTTTTCTGTTAGTTTAGGAACACCACATCCCCAAACAACATCACCTATGTAGACAGAAGCACTCTTCTATCAACATCACAGCATCTACTCTGGGGCTTTGTTGGTATAGGTATGTCAGGCAGGGGTGTGTTTTTTCCCCTACATATCTGCAGGGGTCAGACATAACTTTTAAGTTTAAACAAAGCCTAAATATAGACATGCTGCACAGCTGTAAACATTGCAACTTACCTGCTTTATATTGGTGCAAGTGTGTCTACATAAGGGCTTAGCAGCCATGCATTTGTGTAGCTGCACTTCTGGGGAGTGGTGTGTGGGGAAGGGGAGAAACAAATCTAATGTAGAAAATTCCTCTCAGCTACTGTCTGGACCAGCATAGAAGGATCATTATGTTTACTATGGAGACAGAAGAAAGAGGTGCCTACTGGCAGCAGACGCTAAGCAAAGATTATCAACAGGAAAGAGATAAAATGTTGGAAAAGGAATAAACCCAGATGCACTTTGCATAATTATGTGCACACTTTTTATAATACTTTCTCCATAGACACTGTTAATGCTTTTCAGATGGCTGGACTACTTAATTGACCAAACTACAAAAATCAACTGATTTAGTGTAGTAATAAAACATGGATTTAATGGCAACAAAAAAATTAAATTACAGAATTAAAAAAGTATCATAAATACATATCAAACATTTACAGAATACCAGCAACACTTTCTATGGAGCAAGGTTATTAGACATTTTACCAAGCAAATGAATAATCACTAGTTTACATACATCAGAAAACATAGCTTTTGTGCTATGTTTTACAAACTTAAACAAAAACAAACCAAACAACCAATTACATAAACTTTACAGGGGGCAAAAGTAAAATAACTGATTGTGTTTTAGCACAATTTTAGCCTATAGAGTGGTGGATAAAGTGATGTTTTTAACAGATTTATTTTTCTTGATGCATTAGAAAAAGCAATGCATTTCAGCACTCAAGTAGATTAACTGGAAGAGAACAGACAAATCAGTTAAATTAAATGGAAAGTACAGTTTAACATCAATTAAAAAACCAAGCTTCCATATTTGTTGCAATCAGACAGTTCCACATTAATCATGGTTCATGAGCAATATAATATGGAGTACATTGCTGGTTTAAGTGTAGAGTCAGCTCTACATAAGAATTTTACTGGATAATTGTAAAAAAATTTTAAGACACTATTACAGTTTGTAAACATTACTCTCTTGTTCATGATAGTTAAATCCATAGTTTCAACGTCTGAGGCTTAAAACTAGTAACAAAGAGAGGTTTAACATCTATAGCTTTACCATTTACAGTATTGAGGTCCTTTTTAGCCAACAATTCTCAGTAGTAGCATATATTACATTTTGGGGGTGGGGAAAGAAGCCAACATTCAGGCAGATTAAGGAATGCATCAGAGTGTATTCCAAGTAGCAATATACCTCCAACTTAACTAGATATAGCAGCCATTCCAATAGATAATGTTGGGAGACAATCCGATGTAGATGATACATTTATAAAAATCATAGTTCATTGCCCCCTCTGCCAAATCATTTAATAGGAAACCCAATTAAATACATTATGTATAGCATGTGAAGTACCACTGCTTCGTTATTTGACGATATTATGCATTTAGAAATTTTTCTCATATACATCTTGGAGCTGGAGAGAAGCAAACTCAAAGAAAATATGTACCATTAGGGCCTGATCCAATTCCTGTTGGGAGTCTTTTTGTTGACTTTAGTAGTTGGATCAGGCCCTGGTTAAAGTACTGTCACAGGAACAGCATCAGTAAATCTGTTCAAAATTTAAAAAATACAAGTTGGTAGCTTAACTTATTTGTACTTACTAGAAAATATCATTGTAACCTTAAAGCAAAACACTGCAGATTAAGCATAACCCTTTCATGTTCTGAGGGTTAAAATAAGAGGATCCAATTTTGGTTTCATAATAAGTTATTTACACAGTAATTTTTTCTATTTGAAACTGATAAGAGCTTTTAGCAGGTGACTTTACTATGCATGGTCCCCATCCCCAAATAAACCTTACTTCTGAAGCACTCCTGATGTGCAACTGAAGTCTATAACTAGACAGGACAGAACAGAAAATTGACTGAAATGACTAAAAAGATTATTTATGATTTAAGTAAAATGCTTATGCAAATGAATAGGACTATTCATGGTGGTGTCACAGGACTAGAGTTTTCGCCTCAGATTTTGCACTGAGATCTCATACAACCTCAGCTAAATCAATGGGGTTGAAGGAAGCATAAATGTAGAACTTGGCCTTTAATGTATTAGAAGTTTATAATACTATTAAAATTAAAAATATCAAACTAGTTTTGTGAAGGTCTGACAAACCTATAAAAACAAGGAAATTCATTATCTGTAATAAAATACATGTTAGTGTATGATCTTAAACACTTTGGGTAACATTTTCAGAAGTGCCTAAGACCCAGATTTTTAAAGATATTTAGACATTTAATTCCCACTGAAATCAGTGGGAATTAATCAGCTAAATACTTTTAAAAGTTCGGGCCTATATAATTTAGGAATAGAAGGCCCAGATCCTCAAAGATATTTAGGCCTCTAATGCCCCTTGATTACAAAAGGAGTTTGGGGCCTAAATACCTTTGGGTCTCTGGGCACAAGTCCTAAGTGCTCCTAAGGCATTTAGGCACACAGAGAATTCCACTCTTGACACTAATGTGCTTTGAAGATGAAGAGGTAGTATGCACTCCCAACTGTAATCCTGAATTATATATATATTTGAGTTAGGCCCCAATGTAGCAAAGCACTTATGCATGCACATAAGTCTCATTGAAGTCAATGAGAGTTAAGTATGTGCTTTGCAGAATTAGGGTCTTGTTATAGCTTCAGAGATATGGATTAGTTTAGTATTTTGTTAGAAAATGGTTGTTGTTTCAAAGATGGTAGAAGAAGAGGTTGTTGGACAATATTTCCAAAATCAATTGTCAAGCACTTGGGAATTTTTAATTGCTGACCCCTCTCTTATAGCTTCCTCCTAAATATTGTGCTTAATACAAGTACAGGAGTCCTGAAAGTGTCACAAAGTTTCTTCCCACCGTGGAACAAAACCATGTGTGAATTTTTGTTTGGCAGTGTAAAATGAATTCAAGACAGGCTGCAGTGTACAGAGATGGGGTTCTTATTTTTGAAGATTGTTAAAATTACTCTTTCAAATACAATAAAATTATTATTAGGTGGGTGAGGGCTTTGTACTCATAATCAAAAGGGAACATTAGTACAGTTATTTATTAGTCTTACTAGTATCCTAGCTTCTACTCCCCTAACCCATAATCTTCCCTTCCCTTACCTACATGTTCAAATCAGGTAGGAAAAACAACAAACCACCACTCCAAAAAACAAACAGCAACAAAAACTAAAAACAGAACTAATCAGTCTACATATTAACCTACAAGGAATTTTGAACAATAAGATCAAGTTACTATTTTTAGTCATTACCAACTCCAGTCATCACACAAGTCCCTGCCTCAGAACAACCAGCTCAGATGTGAATAAGCCATATCCCTCCCATCCCCAACTTTCCATCTTCCATCATTTGACATTCCAAACAGTGCAACAGTCACTAAAATATATGTAGAATTACATTGTAAAGTTGTAAAAACACACTGCATTAAGTGCAAAGAATTTTTTTTTTTTGCTGCAAGTTGTTTAAAGTTTACTGAAATATCTTAATATTAAGGCACAGGCCTAGTTCATTTCACGCATTTTGATATTCCACAGTGAGCATCCAAAAATGCAATGGAATGACAAAAAACAATGATTTTTACCTTTAAAAGAAATAGTGGGAGTTTCTCTCATGCTACAAGACTGAGATTCCTATCTTTATTTTACAGATATTATATGTGCGTATGAACACAGTATCCATACACACAATAGTTATATGCCAAGGACACTTTAAATGTTTCACTTAAATTATTTGACTTCAGAAGCGTAAATTCCTTAAAGTGTCCATTATGTATGACATGCAACAAGAATAGCATTCAAGTACATTCTGTTCAGTGAATTAATAGGCAGTGTGCTAGAAATGTACTTTTCCATAATATTGAAGGGAAAAAGATTGGGGCTAAGTTTTTGAGAAAAACAGGACCCTAAAATTAAGTTACCACTTAGGCTCCTAAATAAGTGGCCAGATTTTGAAGAGTGTTAAATCCTCTGTAGTGCCCATAATGGGAATCTGGCTACTTAATTGTAACTGCTGAATGTTCCACACTTTTGAAAATCTGGCCAGTTTTTAGGTGCATAAGTATAGATATAGGAGCCTAAAATTAGGCTTTTTTTTTTTTTTAAATCTTTGTCTGAATGCTTTTGCGATGGATGGGGGGGAAAAGGAAAATGTTTTTATTCAAGAAAATGTTTGCATCAGTAATGTAAAAGCAATATAACTTTTATCCTGTATTCACAGTGTCCTTAGTGTAGGAATTCCCTTCTCAGGGTAAAAGTTTTTTTACCTATATAATAACTAGTCTTTGGCCATTTCAGCTGGAAAGTGGCCCAAAACCTAAATGTATGGTATACTTACATGTGCAGTTATTTATCAGTGAAAGCATTGTCTTGTGAGCAGTATGATAGAGAGACTAAGCAGGTCACACCAAAACTGCTCATAAGATGATACTTTTATCAAATGAGGCATTCATGATTATACAAATACGTTTATTAAAATTGTTAAAAAAATATATATTTTAGTTCCATGGTAAACATTTTTAGTAGAAATGTACAGGTTTATGAGAAATCACATATGATACTCCTACATACCATTTGCACATGGGAACAGTTAGGGCAAATTAGAAAATGGGTTCATAAGACTTAAATAGCATTAGATATACCAGTCACGACTATGTAGGTAACTTACAAAAATATCAGTAGCCTTATCATAGTCAAACAAGTGCTTAGATCAACATGGCAACACCTAAGATGGCTCAAGGGATTGGTAATACGATATGAAACCTTTAGTCTCTCACTCACTTGCTTTTCACAGAAGTGTGGCCAGGAGTCAGGTGTGATTCATTCGCTGGACTAGGAATTAGGAATCCTGATTTCTACTCCCAGAGGCAGTGATCCTCAGTGTGTCCTTGGACAAGTCACTTAATCTGTCAGTTTCTTATATACTGAGAACACTGCTACTTACCTACCTTTCTGGAGGGTTATGAGGATTTATGCTTGTAAGGTGCTTTGAACATAAGTGGCAAATACTGTTTAATCGAGTGTAGCTTAGGTGAACACGCCAAAAACTGTTTCTACTGTATGTGAATACATGGGTCTATCTGAAATGAATAGGTGGTCAATAGCCAGTTTCTAGAGGGAGAAATTGGATAAATGCAGCTGAACTTTTTACAAGTGGCCCCTCAGTCCTACTAAATTCTGCTTCACTTCACTAAAAAAAGACTGCACTGCTTCAAGAAACATAAGATAGAACCTGGGTAGCCAGTGCAGGGAGGGAGGAAGGGAGGGAGGGATGGAAGGGAGAAATAGTATTAAAGAAAAACCTACATATGGATAAATTTTAAATAACTTCTTTCAAGAAAGTTGTAAATATATTTTGTGGCATGAACACGTAAGAAATTGTAAACCTTCTTCCTAAATCGTAACCACAGACACTTCAGAACATGTGACAATGTAATTTAATGCACCTCTCTAGTGTTTTATGCACCCAAGGCATATATTATAAAGTCAGCTCTACTGCATAAATTAACTGTTTTCTGAACAGAATTTTGTGTGCCGGAGAAATAGGATCCAATTGGCTGAAAGGATGGCAAGTAGTACAAGAAGCCATGCAAAACTGATGCCACTGGTTGGGGATAAGAAGCCTATAATGCAGTGTTTACTAGACCACTTAATTATACCAGCATCAGACCTTATTACTTCTGAAAAGACATACTGAAATGGTCTACAAATTTAAATATGAATCATATCTAAAATAGTATTTAAGTAATGAGCATCTTAATAGCTTCATGGAGATATAAAAACTTAAATCTGAATTTGAAACCAAAATAAGTGGCTGCCTAACGCAGGTAATTAAAAATCTTAGCACCTTTAAAAAAAAATTGCAGCTACAGAAAATAGATTTCCTGAACTCAACTTCATAGTCTTTATGAAAAAGCTATGTGTAACTTTCAAACAGGTCAGTGCCAAAATTAAAGAAAAATTACCAGGGGTAAATTTTCACAAGATTTGGCCATGGGGTAAAATGCTGGTCTCACTAAAATCTATGACATCTTTGCCACTTCTTTCAATGGCACCAGGTTTTCACCCGAGATGTTTAATTGGCAACTTGTTTCTAAACAAGACATTATAATCTATTTCAAAACTCCCTATGTACACTGGCAATTCTGCAAGGTGACTGCATCCAATAATCTGTGTGTCTAACTAAAATATCACAATCACCTAAGAGGAAGTTAGGTATATTAAGTCAGAATTTGATGAGCATGTTCTATAAATCAAGTTTTATATAATCTTTGAAGGGAAATAGATGTCATTTGCTCTTTTTTTTTTTTGCCATGCTAACATGTATTTCAGACATACTGTACTATCTCTTACTTCAATATCAGAATGTGATAAAAAGTAGTCTGTTGTGCAAAAGTTTAAAGTTAAACATACACGGTCAGATATTTTTGGCCCAGAATTTAGGTTTTGTAAAACCACTGATTTTCTAAACCATAATATTAATGAAAATGTTTCCAACTTTTTTTAAAATTCCAAATAAACAGATTGTTTAGATTGAAATATTCCCCTGAAACCTCTGTCACTCAAACATTGCAGAATTGTGCTACTAAGAGCCAGAAAGTGCAAGTGATTTGTCTATTTTCTTGTCCAAATTGAGTGAAACTGAAAGAGGTAAATACTAATTGTAAAGTAAATAGATTAAAAGTGACCAGTTTTCATAGTAAGTTATGTATTAATAAAAAAAATTGTTTAAAATATATTTTAACTTGATAGTGTCCATTTAAATCGTAACAAGACAGACAAATAGCCTATGATTCTGCAGTGACAGATTATATTTTTTAATCACAGTCTTCTGTCAATATGTTGTCTTCTGATTTTAGCTTCCATCTCATAATGCTTTTGATTTTCTTGTTCTGGGTGATGCTCCATCTTCTAATTTTACTGCTCCATTGACAAAGTTAGCTGAAATTTTAAAACAGGGAAAGCTAAAAGTACAGGTAATACGCTATTTGCCTCTGCAGAATGAAAAACAAAAAGTTAATATGCAAACCTAAAAATGTCAGATGACAATATTCAACACTTAATGTAGGCAAAGCTCTGGGGCCTTCCAGTAGAGACGTGGAACAAGGTAATGTTTTGAAGGACTTATAGAATACTTACCTCCTAACTCTCCCTATCATTCCTTTTGCCAGTGGAGGATGGAACCTGAAGATTTTGTTTTACTATAGTTGTGTGTGAATTATCAATGCTAACACAATAAAAGTCTATGGTAACCTACGATATTTGTCCTCTAATATTAAAATCTTGTGCAGTCACTGCGAATCAATCTGTATGCATTAACTTCAACCTAGCCTGGATCCCTCTATTTAGGGCTTGAAAAATCCACTCACTCTAAGTAAGTGGGAAGCTTGGCCTGGGGATTTAGGGGACCACTACCATCAGCTTCAGCAGAATCTAAGATTTAAACAAACCAAACAAAAACACCCCCCCACACACACACATTTCTAGAATTTATAATTGTAAGGGTAAGTGTAAACCAATGCAGTGTCATCCTCCTGCACCTACAGACATTCAACCTCTCCTGGTCATTGATTTTCCCACCCGCAGCAGAGTGTGAAGTCCACAGGATTATAGTTTCACTGCTGCTATTTAGAATACTGTGGGCAGCTGTGAAGCTCAAGAACAGTGTCAATTTCATGCTTCTGTATGGAAAAACAATGAAGAGCAGCAGTGAAGTTATCCATAGGAGAAAAAGAGAAGGATCCACAAGGCTGGAGGAGGAGTAGAGAAGCAGACACACTTCTTTTACAGCAGTTTGAAGGCTCTGAAAGGTAGTGGAGAGTAAAAGCTGCTTCTCCAACACCCATTAAGATCAATGGGAGTATTTCCATCGACTTCCAGGGGCACTGGATTATGTGCTTAGTAGTGTATCTAAATCTGAAGTACCACAGCCCCTTAGGTACAGAAAGATACGAACAAGGGAGCTCCCAAAAGGGGTCCAGGGACTGCATCCTGGTAGAAATTCCAGCAACTGGTAATAGGCTTCTCATCAGAGCACTGTACTGGATCTTATGGGTGAAGACTCCCAGTCTACTTCTGCCAAATAGGGTTAGTCCTCCTATTAGTAGATGTAATTTTCTTCCAAATCTTGTCTACGCGATACAATAGGGAATCTTTGTTCACTACAGGTCTCCCAGTGATTACAATTTAATTTCACAGTAGTAGGTTTTTTGGGTTTTTTGTTTGTTTTTTAAATAAAGGGTCCAATTGTCACTATAGAAAGAAGTCTCTGTGATTTGGTGTAGAATTTAGAAGAGTAAGTGACAGCAATTTGTTAATTACCTAAAATTCAATAAAAATAGAATTTATGGTCATCAAGAAAAAATGGCCACCTTAAAAGCCTCACTAATCAGAATAAAATAGACAACATACAGTTTTTTTTAAGCATTCAAAAAGATGAATTCTAAAGTGCTATTACAATTTTAAGATAATTTTTTTTAAACTTTTCAACCTAGTAATATGCAGAAATTGTGGAGTCTGTATCTGTGCAGAGTTCTGTAAAGGACATCAACTCTAGAAAGAGCATTAGCTCTGTGGGCTTTTGTTAATTTTGGTTTTTATTATAATGCAGTATTCTCTCTCTGCTGGCTTGAGTTAGCAACATGCAATACAGCGTACCATGAGTAAATATGTTTTGATGCAGACTATTTTCTAACTTTGAGGAAGCTAAAAATGACATCTATTTTCACCATATAATAAGAAATGGACCACACATTAGCTGCCTTGGGAACTGATACAAGGAAAATACAAAAAGATTTCAAGAACAAATCGAGCATAAAAATATTTATTTTTATCTGAAGTGACTAAAAAAAAAAAAACCCTACTGACCTCTGTTTGGTTCTTTTTTTGTTGATTTGCTCTTTGTGCAAGTTATTTTTTTCTTAGGAATCTGGTTCTGGATGTGCTCTCTCCATTTCTTTAGCTGGAAATTTATAAATTTCCACATCATCCAGGCCTGTGTTAGACAAATTGCAGCCAAGCAACTAATCCTAAAAGATTTCAGATTAAAATAAGAAGTTAGATAAAAGTTTCAACTATACATTGTTACAGAGCAAAGCAGCATCAAATGTCCATTTTAAAAAGTTGCTGATCACTCTTAGAAAAGACAGTTATCTTTTCCATAACTGGTGTTCTTTGAATCATAGAATCATAGAATATCAGGGTTGGAAGGGACCTCAGGAGGTCATCTAGTCCAACCCCCTGCTCAAAGCAGGACCAATTCCCAACTAAATCATCCCAGCCAGGGCTTTGTCAAGCTGGGCCTTAAAAACCTCCAAGGAAGGAGACTCCACCACCTCCCTAGGTAACGCATTCCAGTGCTTCACCACCCTCCTAGTGAAATAGTGTTTCCTAATATCCAACCTGTACCTCCCCCCACTGCAACTTGAGACCATTGCTCCTTGTTCTGTCATCTGCCACCACTGAGAACAGCCGAGCTCCATCCTCTTTGGAACCCCCCTTCAGGTAGTTGAAGGCTGCTATCAAATCCCCCCTCATTCTTCTCTTCTGGAGACTAAACAATCCCAGTTCCCTCAGCCTCTCCTCATAAGTCATGGGCTCCAGACCCCTAATCATTTTTGAGATGTGTTGCTCATGTTCATTCAACTTAAGTGTGTGTGTTCGCCACATGCACCGGTGCCAGAAGTTTTTCCCTCAGCAGTATCCATAGGGGACCAGCTCCAGCGCCCCCTGGAGCCACGGATGGGGACTGGTGCCGGCCAGTGGATGGTCCCATTGGGGCGCTGCATACCAAGGTACGCAGCACCTAGTTGGAGTGTTGCTCTGGTGCTGGGGTGAGGGCCGACTCCATAAGGAGCGCTCTTAAACAAATATCGCTCTCCTTCTTAGTCCTTGGCTCGAAGGACTTGCAAATTTTGCACTTCTCACTAATGTGCCCTTTGCCCAAGCAACGCAGACAATTGCTGTGTGGATCACTAATGGGCATTGGCCTCTTGCAGCGATCACAGGCTTTAAGCCTGGAGACCAGGGCATGCCCCATCCTGAGGCAAAGTCCCGTTTGGGACCTACGAAGTCTCTAACTATAGCTAAGGAATTTATAAACACTAACAGAAAACTATATGCACTAGAATACAAGAGATAACTTGCATACGAATGAGCAGCAACAGCACTGGCTGAAGCAACAACAGTTCCAGCACCGTCACTGGCGGCAAGAATGAACTGAGGGTGGGGGAAACTGGCAGCGCCCTATATACCGCATGCGCGCCACTCCAGGGGGCGCCAGAGCCAGTCCCCTATGGATACCGCTGAGGGAAAAACTTCCGGCACTGGTGCATGTGGCAAGCACACACACCTAAGTTGAATGGACATGAGCAAGCACTCGAACAAGAACTTAAACCTCTCACGCTGATGGAAACCAGATGTGGCCAAGGAGCACATCTAAGACAGGGCATATAGTCTGCATTAAATAAATGGGAGCTACAGGTAAGTACACCAGGGGAAGTATCCAGGCTTATCAAGGAAATATAACAGACAGCCTTCAGTAGCTAGTACCAAATTGTACAGTTGCTGCCTCCTCTGCCAAGTGATCTAAGAATGAGATTTAGTGATGACAAAGCAAATTCAATTTCCCTTCCACCTACTGAATGAACAGATTGTTGAAATGCAGGTTAAACAGCGGAGCTCCCGGTGAAAAATTAATGTGACTTCAAAAATGAGCAAGCAAGAATGAACATGTTAGAAGATTGCTTGGGTTTTCCTAAAGAGTTGTTGATCAAAAATGAAAGCATTGATATCTCAAAATTACAGTATGGTCATAATGGCCACAGGGAAAGTTTAAAGCAAAAGCTCACACGATGTTATGCAGGATCCTTTGCACAGCAGTCATATTAATTCAATTATAAAAACACCGATAAAGAAAAACAAAGAGATTTCTTATGTTTAGCATGGATTTTGTAATAGCAGTCCCTGCTTTGTGGAGAAAGGAAAAAAAAAAAAAAAAAAGACAACAAAAAATTCTTCCACCCCAAAATCCTGGGAAAAAAGCCACCCAGGAAAATTCTCCATCAAAAGCTCTACCATCTTGGATAGGTATATTAAAGGCAGTCTGAAAGTGTCACTTTACTCAAACATGAATGTCTACTAGCTTTTTTATACCTCACAGTGAGTACATTGAAGTTTCCGTCTGCTATGGAAAAACCTGGATTCTCTACTCTTGCCAAACCAAATCCAAATGTGAGCACAGATAAGGTTAGGGTCAAAAGACGAGCCATTACAAACAGTAAAGCCCAAAGGGTAAATCTGAAAAGGAAATAATAAAATTAATGTGTCTTCTCCCTTCGTCCACCACTTTTCAACTTGGTTAACTGTACAAGTTCTATTAAGCTTCCTTGAGCACTGAAATTGAAGCTAAAAAGGAAAGGTATATTGAGATGAACAACAGTTACAGGAATATTACATCTAGTTCTCCACCCACATCAGTGAATTCTGCCCCCCCGTCCATATACACTCAATTATGCCTCAAATAAAACTTTTCTTTTCCAATATAGAAGTTAAATTTTATTTTCAAAGGCGTGCTTAGAAATTTCAAAATTTGGGGTATATAGCAATTAAATGTATTGCCACATGGAATGCCAAATCTGGGTGCTGAGTTCATTGTGAATTTCCCTGACCCAGAAACAGGGTAAAGGCAGAAAGTACATGTCAGATTGATATTCATGCTGTAAATTATATGTGAGATAGCAAGGACATTATAAAACCATAGAGATGACTAGACCAATAATACACAGAGATTAAATGGATAAAAAATAAGTGGTTGGGAGGACAAAGGCAGATTATTACAGCAAGAAGTGTACAGGTTAGGAAGGTAGTGGCGGGAGGCGGGGGAAGAGGAAATATGGAATTGCAAGCTAATGGGATCAGTACTGAAGCACTACCTTTCTACTTTGTAGGTAACTTAGAGCAAAGTGATATTTTAATATCCAAGCTTGCAGAGAACAAAAAAATTTGGTGGATAAATACTGAAAAGGACAATGAAAAGTTACAAGCATCTATTACGAATTTCCCAACTATTTTTCTTTTTAATTTTTAGTTGGCTGTAAGATAAGATCTCCATTATTTTAAAACATTAGCATATTTCAGTTAAAACACAATTAAAATAAAAAAAGTTAGATAAATAACTAAACTTTAAGTCTTCCTCCATATCTCCTCACCAATCCTCATCCTATATACTGGAGGTCCTCAATATAGCCATCACTAGAGACACTGTTGAAGCCAAGAGCTGGAATCTGAGAGGTGAGCCCAAAGGAAAAACAAACAACAAAAACACACTACCATTCCTTGTCCCACATCCATCCCAGTAGCCAGGACCAAGAATTTAAGCTTCTCCAGCATGTAGCAATTTTGGGAGGTAAGTAGAGATTACTGACTGATTTACATTCTGAATGCTACTGTCTCAGTGAGGATTGATCAGATATCTCACAGAAGTCAGTAAGGGAGAAATTCACCTATTACCAATTTGGAGAGCAAAAGCTTTGGTTTCTAACCAGTTGAACAGGAGGTGGCCTACTGAGATGGTTACACTTAATCTAGGAGAATACCACGACAACATAAACTATAGAAAGCTGTTCTCATTAAAGATTTTAGCAGTACAGAAGTTTTTCATGCTACTTAATTATTGGACAAAAACTAGAACTATTTTCAAAATGAAAAGTGCATTCAGAATCTCAATTCAAAACACAGCTTGTTAAATTAATCTCAAACTTAAAAAGAAAAATACCCAACATTCCTATACTCAGCCTGTGACAGTTCAAGCAGAAGTTGTTGGGTTTTTTTTCTCCTAGAAAAATAAGCCAAGGTTTTTGGAAAGCTATGAGAGTGGAAATTTATAACCTTAAATATGAAGTCACTAATAGCCTGGAAGCCCATGTGGAGAAATGGCTCTTGATGGGGGTTTATTGTTCAAGATTATAATAAACAGCAATATTTTAGTTCTCCTAAAACACTCAAAATGCTTCTCTAACTCATATTTTAAGGAGATAGGTTTCCATTCCTTATTATTATTTAAGATTATGGTAGCACCCAAAGAATGATAAGTATTTCCTAATCAGAGGAAGACTGTCCCTATCCTGAAGAACACATTGTTTAATCAGACAGAAGGGGGAGTACAACATATTCTTTGTATTATAGTAGTGGCCAGATGTCCTTATCAGTATTGCAGTCCTGTTACATTGGGTGCTACACAAATAAAAGTAGATAGGGTCCCTGGTCTAGAGAGCTTATGGCCTAAGATGAACAACATATAAAAAAAATAGGGAAAAAGAGAGTTGTTTGTTTGTTTTTACTTTATTTGCATTAATAAATATTGACTTTCTCCAAATGACCTTCAGCCTAATTATTTAAATGCTGGTGTTAGGAGTTGAAACAGAAACAGGTCTTGGGAAGAGATATGGAGAAGAGGGTAGTAGTCTTACAGATTATTTCAAAGAGGACAGTGTATGCATAAGAGGCTGTGTGGAAGAAAGCAAGATAACATTTGTAGAAGTCTCACATGAATGGGCAGTCAAGTCTTGTACAGCTGGGAGTGTGGAGGGAGAAACTACAAGAGACAGGAGTGGAAAAGTGGAGCAGAATTGCGAACAGACATGAAGGTTGAGATTTGAGTAAAGTGTTCAGATTGATGCAGAACACCCCTCTTCTTAGTTACATACTTCTTTCTCATAAATTTCATCTTCCTCCCCTTTGCTCACACACAAAGTTCACTTCCTCCACCCTCATTCTACAAACCAGTCCTCTTGTCTTTCCCCTTCCCAGCTTCGATGCAATTGTCCTTATAACTCTACATCTCAAAATAAGTGAGCAATTCACTCAAGATATAGAATAAACAATTTTACTTTATATGCTGTTCGAAACGGTTGCCTTCCACAAATTATAAGTATTTTACTTTCTCTTCCTGTCCATCCCTTGCAAAGAAGGGGCAGAATATAAAACTGATAATGCATAGACTGATTTTTTTCCTATTATAAAAGTAATGCACATTGTTTAGATTGTTTGGGCATTTATTACTATAAAATACTGGTATAATTCTGTCAGTTCTTTTGTATTGGTTTACAATAATGAACAAAGTTCAAAAACACAAATAGATTCTGAGAGAGGTGTAATGATTTTAGTGTCCATATTACTTTTATTCTAAGGTGCACTTGTTTTTAAAATATAAATCTCCATAAATATATTTGCAGTTAAAAATATATTGGAGCAGGTAGGCATTTACAACAGAGATGGCTAACATGTACCCAAGACATGATTTTAACAAATATTACTTGAAAAATTATTACGATCATGAAGTGACAGATCAGTTTCCTTGATTCTACATAATGACACTGGAGCTCTCATGGAATGCCAATCAAATAGTAATATTGGGATCACAGATATAGCTTAGGATGTGTGATGTCCAAACATTTGCTTTTTATATTACGTGCACACAAACACATTTATGCCAATAGAAATTGCAATAGAGCTCTGAAAATTAAACGCAGAGGTAGTAAAATAAAAGTAAGATAGTACATGCAAAATTTACCCTTTCTGCTTGTTTTCATCACTGAAGTAGAAAAGACGTGAGGCATGAAAAATGAGCTCCACTAGATAGTGAGGTACCAGCAAAATTAGCCCCAGACGTTGAAGGCTGTAACGGAAAATGAAGGTTATTTATTTGTAACAGAGATTTTTCAAGATGGCCCTATATATTCACACTTGTGGGTATTGTGCTGTCTTATCGTAAAACCTTCTTCTAGCAGTGCCAGCTTGAATGCTCCCACTCCTACTCCTACCCACCTCCTCAGCATCACAACATATCCAAGACAAAGATAAGGGATAGAGCACCCTCATCATCTCAATTCCTTCTACCACAAAGCCAGAGACACAGAATAAACAAATATTCTGACAGAGAGGGGAAGACAACAGGAAATGTGAATAGGCAGAGCTCTTTTGAAGAACCTTGATTACAAGTAACCTTCATTTTTTCTTTGAGTGGCTCTGCATATTCCCACTTATGGAACAGACTGATAAGCAGTGCTGAGACTAACCTAGCGGTGGACCCAGAGTCCTAGTTGAATAGAGACAAGCACTACTTTGCCAAATCCAGCATTTGCCTTAGAAGCCAAGTCCAGAGCATAGTGCTTAGTGAAAGTTTGCATCAAAGTCCAGATTGTAGTTTGCAAGTTTCAGCAACAGACACCTACCTAAGACAAGCAAAGGAGGTAGCCACACCTGTCTAGTGGTCTAATTGCAGCAGATACAAGAATTTTTGCCAGTATGTAGCATTCAGTAATGCATTGTTTAATCCACCAAGAAATAGTTTGGGAAGAAATCATATACCCCTTATCATTCTTGGTATAAGACATAACCAATCTAGATGATATACAAAATATTGGTGGTCTTGGTGCCACTAGATGGGACAGAACACCACACCCAGAAGGGTGTGTGTTACACAGGGGTCTCTCCTGCACAGACCAGTGCCCTTGAACTGTCAAATGGAGAGGCTCCCCCCAACTTTTGTTTGATGCAACTGAAGTTACTGTCAGGGATGACTGGAGCACTGAACTGTACACCTCGGAGCATATTCACCCTGACTGACCACCATTCTAGAGAGAGACTATAACATTCCGAGGCATGGTGATCAACATCTGAAGGCTGTTCTGGCTTGGTCTGTAGACATGAGATATCCAATAATGCACAGTCTCATTATCAGACAAGCAAATGGAGTCACAAAATGTAGTGGCTGCCATAAAGACCAAAAGACCCAAGAAGAATTTCATTCTCCGAGAGGAACACTGTCAAATCTTTTACATATGCTTGCTCATTTTGAGAAATATGTCCTCTGGGAGAAAAGCTCCCCCTTCCATAGAATGCACTGTGGACCCTATAAAGGGAATCCTTTTAAAGGGGCAGAGAATTGACTTTGGCAGTAGAAAAGTAGCCTGAGATTTGAAAAGAGATTGATTGTGAAGACAATATGGCTTAACAGGTCCTCATGCACAATGCCCCTCAGTAGCCAGTTATCCAGATAGGGATAATGAAAATACCCCGATTGCTCAGATGAGTCCCTACCACAAAGAGGTATTTTGTAAAAACCTTGGGCATCATGGAGAGGCCAAATGGAAGCATCTTGTACTGGAAATGATTCCCAGCCACTATAAATCAAAGGTACTTGGAATGATGGTGATTAACAGAAATATAAAAATATACATCCTTTAGATAGAGAGTTGTGAACTGTAGCAGGGTGGACATCCGCTCCTGCCCTGAGGGGTTTGGAACAGCCCTGGGAGAAGGCTGGGGCAGGGAAGCAGCTACTGGGCTGATTGGGGAAGTAGCGGCACCTGGGCCATGCCCCAATCAGAACCCAGCTGGCCTGTATAAAGAGGCTGGGAGCCAGGAGCTCACAGTCTCTCTCTGCCTTCAGATAGAGAAGGGCCTGGCTGCAGGAAGCAGAGACAGGGTACCTGAGGGGAGCAGGGCTGGGGAAAGGCTGAGGAGCTGGGGAGCTCCAGCCTGGAAAGCCCCAGGCTGCGGCCTAGGAGAAAGCCAAGGGGTACTGGGGGTTGCAGTGGGCAGCCCACGACTAGACTGAGGCAGCAGGTCCAAACCCACCCTTGCCTGTGATGAGTGGCCTATACTGAAGTCTGCCCCAGGGAGTGGGGGCTAATTGGTGACTGGGAGTGGCCTTACACTGAGGCGAGGTGGGGTTAGTGGGTAGGGGTTCCCCTGGGAGGGGAGACCTAGCATGTGTGGATACTGCCAGGAGGCAGCACCCAGAGCAAGGGGCACCGGGGTCCAGGGAGGGACAGAGGAGCCAGTAGGGGGACAAGGTGGATCACCGGCCTGTAGAGGGTGCTCCAGATGCTGGACGAGCTGATTCCCCAAAGCAACCAGTAGGGGGTGCCGCAGGGGTGAGTCCGACCCCTTACATGAACCAATCCATGAGCAACAGTGAAGGGATTTATGGAGGCCAAAGTCAACACCTGGAAATAAAGCCTCTGAGCATACTTATTCAAGTCCCTTAATCTAGTATCCAATTAACCCCCCACATCCTTCTTTTGAACCAAAAAATAAAAGGAATGAAAGCCCTGACCCCTTAAGTCGGGAATCTCCTCGACTGCTCCTAACAGAAGCAACTTTTCCACTTCAAGAAGAATCGCCTCATGAGAGGCGGGGGTCCCTAAAGAGGGAGAAGTAGGAGAGATCGAGGGGCAGTTATTTGAACTGCATGGCATACCAGGGGTAGTCAATAGGCAGCCTGTGGGCCAAATCTGGACTGCCAGATGCCCCACTTAGGACACACCAATGAAATCCATCTTCCTGGAGCCAAAAGTGAACACTGAATCTGATCCTGGCCCTGTAGCACAGGAATTCGACAGGATCAGACAATTGCAAATCATGAAGTACAGCACCAGTGATGGTGGCCAAATTCTCTCTCGACTGCTCCACCAGAGTCAGGGCATCTGGAGCCAAGTGCATGGCCCTTGGTTCAAACATATGTAGCCTTGAGAGCTTGACTTAGGGGGCATCCAGCCCCAACATAGGGTGTGGATTCTTGGAGCCCTTCAGTCCTTTGGAACTGCTGAAAACCAAGACTGGCCTCTTAGACCTTGGATCTGAGGACTGTTCAGATCCAGAGGGTCTGGCCTTGAGAACTTCCTTGAGAAGGAGGAGCTGTAAGCAAAGCTCTGGGACTAAAAGGTCCAGCAAATCAAACACCTAGAAAAAGAATGAGTTTCTCCCAGGCACTTGAGGCCCTGAACATAGTCATCAGATGCTAGGAAGACAGCCAGGCAGGAAATGCACCTTTTGAAACCCAGGTTCTTCTGTTTCTTCAATTCTGCCATAATGCAGAACTGGAAAGAATTGCTAACTAATTACATACCAACAACTAACACTAACTACCTCAAGAAAAAAGGCTCTGGTTCCAAAAAGTCCAGAATGCTTCGCATCTATCCAGGCATGTGGAAGGATCTGAGGTGGTGAGGTCGCTCCACCCCCTATATAGCCTTGGCTTAATATGTCCTGATGCTGAGGGAAGTGGGAAAGGTCACGAGAGCG